AGCTGYTAAGAAATCATGTCAACACCTCAGCATAGATCCTCTCTGCTGGGCATAGAGGTTAGGTTGAAAGTCATGAAACCTAAAAATAATTATTAGGCAACAGCATGGTAGGAGATTACTGGTGGTAAAATAAACAACCTTTTAAAAAATCCACCCCCCTTGGCTGGGTCTGCCTGGAGACTCTCACCTCCTTTTCTTAGATTGTCATGTCAGACCCCAAACCATGTCTTAATAGAACTTAAGGGCAGTACAAACCCATGTGCCTACTAAATATACGCTGTTGATGATATGCACCTAGGATAGAAAGTGAGCAAATTATGGGTGTTGCAAAGGAGAGTCAAGGTGAAGGGGTGCCTTATCTCACATCTGAACAAAGGAGTATATTTCCTGTGAGGTCTGATGAGAAAAAGAAGAAAAAAAAAAAAAAAAAAAAACCTGTGGTTTGACTCCATCACACAAAGTAATTTACAAGGGGTTCTGCCCTGTTGCAGCACTTTAAAGACCTGAGCTGAGCATTTGTGGTTTGGTTGTGCTCTCCAATTCTGGGGCTGATACACGCTGCTTTTAGTTCATGGTTCTAGAGTTTCCAGGCCTCCTTTGGGCTCTTACGTTATGGTTTCAGTGTGGCCACACATCTCCACTATTCAGGTGGAACAGCTCGCTGTAAGGGTATCCCCACAAAGAGACTGTGATAACTGCTACGGAGGACTGGCCAGGTGCCACGTGCAGCTTTTCTGCATCGGTTCATTCATGATGCCCACTTCACAGGTTCAGAAACTGAGGCTTCGTACAAGTCAAGTCATTGATCTAGGGTCACACAGGTAGGAAGGTGCAGAGCCCCGTTTCCCACCCAGGACAGTGTGGCTGCTGGAGCTGAGGGTGCTCATGCATCAAGTTATGCTGTCCGTATTCTGTCCTCTGTCTGCACTTCTATTTATGCCAGGATTTGCCCCTTTCCTCCCGCACAACTACCTAGGAGAACATCTCTGCCCTTCCCAGCCCTCGCCCTTCCCCCTCTGTTCTGCTGTCCCAACCATCTGGCCTCCAGCAGATCTCTCATCCCTCTGAAGTTTCCTCTGGACTACTCACCTTGGCCTTGAATTATGTATCATCGTGCTGCTATTCAAATGTTTTACTGCATAAACTGTCTCCCCACTAAATTACAAGTCCTTAGAAGTCAAGATCAGCTTCTTATCCCTCTCTGTTGCCCCCAGCCCTCAAAACCTAGAACCGTGCACTCAGTAGATGTCTATTAAGAATCTAAACAAAGAAAACTCAAGATAAATCTGTAAAATGGGAATGATTCTTGGAGGCTTTGTGCTAGAATTAGAGACATGGGAAGCACCTCTTGCAACACCTGGCACAGATTAGCTACTATCATTATCACCATCACCATTACTACATTCTAAACCTCCCATGGGAAAAGACTCCAGCAACTCAAAAGTAAAGGTCATGAGCACTGGCCTAATGGGTTTAGGGTGGAAAATTGCTGCATGAGATGATCAAAAAACCCTAAGCAACCCTTTGGGCCGCAATCTTCTGCGTATTACTATTTACCAGGTTTGGGGTTATGTTTTGTTTTTGCTGTGGCCACGTTGGAACCCCCGTGGTGTCTTCCTATGGAACTCAGTGTATCACCCGTTGCTGCTGCGGGGGCCCACTTTTCCTTTCTTTATTAAGAAAAGGAAACAGGAAATTCAATGTAAAACCCTCCGACGGTTAGAATCTCATCAAAGTTGTGAATTTAACCACACCCCCGCCAGGAAATGAAAGTACAGTTCTCACAGTGATGTTCCCTCGCCTTCTGTGGTGTTTTTTAGATCTGAATTAGATAGTGTAGATGAAAGGGCTGAACTCTGGGCAGTGGGCTGTCATCGGGTTCTTGTTGACTGGGGCATAGATCGGCACACAGATTTAATACTGTACAAATGGCAAAGGGACTTTCATTTACTCTATGTCAACTGTGACATCTTGTCAGATGTCACAAACTGGGGGAATGGAAATGCACTGGTAGATTCTGACCATTGATATGTTTGGGCTTACATAGTGTATTTAAAAACATTTTTTTTTTTTTAGTTGTCAATGGATCTTTATTTATTTACATGTGGTGCTGAGAATCGAACCCTATGCCTCACACATGCTAGGCAAGCACTCTACCACTGAGCCATGACCCCAGCCCTAAAAAAAGTTTTTTGTTTTTTGTTTTGTTTTCTGGTAYTGGGGTTTGAACCCAGGGGCGTTCAACCACTGAGCCCTATCCTCAGCCCTTTTTTATTTTTTAGTTTGAGACAGGGTCTCACCAAGTTGCCGAGGCTATCTTTGAACTTGGGATTCTCCTGCCTCAGCCCCTTGAGCTGCTGGGATTATGGGTGTACACCATCACACCAGGCTCACATAGTGTATTTTAAAATTTGCTTAAGTGGTCAACATTTAAAAACAGAGAAAGACGGACATGATGGCTCACATGTATAATCTCAGCTACTTGAGAGGCTGAGGCAGGAGGATTGCAAGTTTGAGGAACACTTGGGCAACACAGCAGGATCCATCTCAAAAGAAGAATGAGGAGGAGAAGAAAGAGGAGAAGGAGGGCTGGGGTATAACTCAGCAGTAGAGCACTTGCCTATCACATATAGGTGTGGGTTTAATCCCCAACACTACAAAAAAAATAAAAATAAAAACAGAGATTGCATACTTGCTCTTGTACACATATCCAAGCTGAATTTGCAGCCTCTGCAGCGGGGATGGGGGGGTGGGGGGGGTGGGGGGGTGGGGGGGGAGAATGGCACTGTGGCACTGTGTTAGGTCACATGTCTTGGGTTTGGTGCAGCAATCTACTGAGCTTATTTGCAGTATCTGCCTGTTCCCAGGAGTGTTCGAGATTTCAGACTTATATCTTGTGTACATGAAAGGTAGTCAGAAAACTGCTACTCCTGAGGCTCTGACATCATGTGCCTTACTTTTTCCTTTAAGTTGCATCCTTTACTTTGACCTATTCTTTCCTATATGGGTCTCCTGATTCCACATCGCTAGTCCTAGCTACCCTGGATATAGACATTGTTCATAATCTTCCCCAGCCTGCGCATAAGAAAAGTTTGCTCCTCTCAATCTCTACGCATTAAGTAGAGGAGACTTTTACTAGCGTTCTCTAAAAGTGGGTATGTAACAGAGGCCTGGCCAATCAGAGCGCTGCTTAATTCCTCTACCAGGTTATTGTCCCAGAGATGGGCACTTGGCTTCAGGGGAACCCAATGAGACCTTTGGCAGGGATTACTAAGAGAGGAGCCTATGTAGTTTTTCCAGTAGACTTGAACCTGGGAGCCCAGAGCCCTAGAGCTGCTGTCAGCCACCTTAACAAGAAGAGCCTTAGACTGGCATCAGCAGCAATCAGCACAGCAGGAGGAGAGAGTTGCTGAAAGATACAGAGAAGTGGGATCCTACAGCTCCTGGATGAAGCCTTGCCTGATGCAGACAACCCTGGGCTTTTCAGTGTCATGAGAAGCCTTTTAGGTCTCCTACTGGAAGTTAGTTCTTTTGCTACGAAAAAAGATARGGTGCGCCACTACGCCCGCCTGTAATCCCAGCTGCTCAGGACACTGAGGCAGGAGGATCGTAARTTCAAAGCCAGCCTCAGCAAAAGCAAGCCACTAAATGACTCAGTGAGACAAAATACGGCTGGGGAACTGGCTCAGTGGTCAAGTGCCTCTGAGTTCAATCCCCAATACAAAAAAAAAAAAAAAAAAGACAGGGTGGGAGAGGGTGGAAGGGGTATACTTTTTAATCTACTTCCCAGATAACCCTAAAAAAAAGTTAATTAGCAAGTTTATTCTTCTTTCACTTTTTTCTTGTTTTTTTTTTAATTATAAAAGTAATATGTGTTTTTAAGCTCTAATAATCAAAAAGTAAATAATGCAAATAAAAAAGTAAGAACCCCCCACCTTTTCCCCTCAAGCTATTCTCTAGAGGTAACAAGAGGTAACTATGGTTACGAATAATATTGTTCAAAAATAATCACTTATGTTTATAGAGGACTTAGCGTGTTCCAGACACCATTGTAAGTACATTTAGCCTTTTCTCATTTAGCCTTTGTCTCATCCTATGATGATCATTTGTGTTCTACCGAGAAAGACGGTACTGCATGGGAAAGTTAAAGTTGTAAAGCTAATAAAATTTAAGAGATGTGACTCCAGAGCCCAGATTCTTAGCCACTGGGTTACTCTGCCAACAATTAGATGTTTAGCCATAAATATACATATTTAAACTACGGTAAGTTCAGGTTACATGTTCTCTTCACAATTATCCTCCTTTTTTTTTTTTTTTTTGAAGGAGGAGATACTGCTGGAGATTGAGCCCCAGGAGGACTTTACCACTGAGCTACATACATCCCCAGCCCTTTTTCAAATATTTTATTTTGAGACAGGGACTTGCTAAGTTGCCCAGACTAAGCTTAAACTTTCCATCTTCCTGCCTTAGCCTCCCAAGTTGTTGGGATTACTGGCATGGGCCACCACACTCATCCTCACAATTGTCTGTCTTAGCTGACTGTCATCTTTGACATCACTTCATGTCACTTTCCAGGTAAGAACTTCAAACTCTTGTCTAGGAAAATATTTCTGGACACAGGTGATTTTCAGGGCTGGCAGCCTAACACCTGGAAGTTGAGCTGTCCCTAAGTCTCCAGTCGATGGTAACAACCTACACATCTGAGGCAGGGGGCAAAGGGACAACAGGTGACATCTGCCTTACCTGTTGATCATTGGTTGAGAGATGTCYATGTATTACCTGTTCCTTGAGGGCAGGGACTGTGCCTTAGTCCAGGTGTATTTCCAGAGCATAGTACTATGTGGCTGGCAGACCTGCCACAGAGTAAATGCTTTAAGGAAGATTTACTGAGTAAATTCATGAAGGRATCACTTGCTGAATACTTTGGGGCAGAAATGAGACTCATCCTGAGTCTGTGTGAGATGCTTCTAGCGCCTTGCATGTGACACAACTGACCTGGATTCACAAGCGTTTATTAGTGATGATGTCATATTGACGTTCGCGGAGGATTTCCACATAGCTTCTCTCATTCTTCTGCATTGAGGTAGATCCCACACCTTGCACATCATCAGCAGCTGGTATTGAAAGGGCGTATTAGGGGCTGAGGGTGTGGCACAGTGGTAGAGCACTTGCCTAGCATGTACTAGGTCCTGGGTTTGATTCTTTAAAAAAAAAAAAAAAAAGGCATATTGGCTACCACAGAGGTGGTCATCAAGTGGTGATTACAAGTTTGGGATCTGGAGTCAGACAACCAGGTTCAAATCCTAACTCTGACATTTACTAGACTGTGTGACATTGGGAATGTTACATATACCTCTCTATAATTTCCTTGGGTTATCTATAAAATGGGGAATACTCTGAATACGTACCTAGTAAAATTGTAAGAATTACCTGGGCTGATGGAGGTAGACCATTTAGAAGAATAATAGGCATGCAGTTGGCACTCAATAATTATTAGCTGGTATCCTCATTGTTGAAGAGCCCTGTTGTATGAGTTTTTTAAAAAAGAGATCAAATTAAATGAGGTATGAGATCCTGTAGAGCTTTTAAAGCTACCAATTTTGAAATATCGTACATGTTGAGCGCAGAATACACTGTTTTGACTTGCTCTCTTTCCTGGATGGGGTTTCAGTTCATTATTAGTTTCTTGGCAGTTCAAGTGCGTGCCTTTCTGAGCGAGGGTAACACTGCCTCATACACCTAATCCCTTTAATACCCACCCACTGTGTCCCCTCTCCTGCGCGTCATCGTCATGGGCTACAGAATCTTCTCTCCCTTTACCCTCAGTGGCCCCGAGTTCTCTCATTTGGGGGAGCTACTGCAACCACTGCAGCTGCTCTGAGATTGTGAGCCTGCCAACAGCCACCTGCCCCTCCCTGTCCCCCAGGCGTCACTCACGTCACTCATGCAGGCTCTTCCCTGTTCCCTCTCCATGGCAGGGGGCAGAATGTGTAAAAAGAAACGGCTTCAAATTCTGAAAAGTTCCCAGAAAATGCTAATTATGTTCCCACCTCTCCCATAGTCAGTTTCTTCCTGGGTTAATATTATTATTCTATGATCCTGGAGCAACTCTGAGAAGAAGATAGAGAATTTAGGGCAATGGCTGTGCACACGTGCATGTGTGTTTGTGTGTGTGTGTGTGTTCAACATAGTGTTAAATGAAAATATTTTGGGCAGAGACATCATAAGGGCATAGAAAAGGTCAGCCCTACTATCATAAAACCCCCAAGAGGGAAACACAGATATTAAAACAGATGAATAAAAAATTATTCTTACAAAAAATATTTCCTATGTGAAGGCCACACCAGGGATTTAATTAAATAGCCTCTCTAGGTGCATTRGACCCTGATTTATGGTATGGGACCTCCTCCAATCCTATCTGTTTCCTCAAAAAGACCAGTATCAGCAGATACCAGAATGGCTGAGCTGGATTCCCTGACCCAAGGCAGCCTAGTTTAATTCAGTCAGCATTAGGAGCCTCAGGATGCTGGATTCTCTCCTCATTCTCTCCTGTGCCAGATCCCTGAGGCCAGCCTCCCCAGGATGTGACCTGGGCAGAGGAAGCAGCCACCCAGTRGGAAGGAGCTGTGAGGCTCTGGTCATAGTACTGCTGGCTGACGTGGCAGTTCTTTGGCACGACCAGGGCGAGGACATGGATGGAGGCCTTAGATTTCCCAGACCCTGGCCTTTCCTCTTCAAGTTCATTGGCATCTTCCACAGATCCTATCCCTCATGACTTTGAGGAAGACTCGGTTGTAAAATGTGCTTTCTGCCCAAATTCAGTCATTCATTTAACACTCATTGGGGCAGCCTGGGTGGGTCAGGTGAGGAACTATATAGTCCTTGTTCTCCAAAAGCCCACAGTCTAGGCAGACTAGGTCACAAGGCATTTAAACTCTCCAGCAGAGGTGCACCAAGATGCCAGACCTGGAGGGGTCAGCTCAAGTTGCTTGAGTGGAGGTCTGGAGGAAGCTTGGGAATTTTCCAGAAAAAAAAAAAAAAAGTTGGGAAAGGCATTCCAGGCAGATGGAACAGTCCATGCTAACACATATAGATCAGGAGAGCCCATATCAGCACATTCATCTTGAGGGGTCAAGGAATGGCATGGAGAGTGGGGTGGTCCACACAGGAAGGAGCTGGCAGGGCTCTGTGGGAGCTAAGCCAGAGAGATAAGCAGACCCAGTCTCAGAGGGCCTGCCTGCCAAGGCTTGGGAGAATTCTCCAGAGAGAGCAGCGAAGAACCGAAGAACCATTGAGAAGGTCATTGACCATATCTGTGTTTTAGAAAGGGTTCTCTGACAGCAGGGAGGAGGGGATTTGAAGGCAGCCTGCAGACCACCAAAAAGGGAGGGAGTTGAGTACCTGACCCCAGCCAGGGGGAGGAGGCCGGGAAGGCATGAGTGGGAAGGTTCTGTTTAAGTCAATTATTACYAAACTACACACAGTGATTCATCTATACCTTCCCCATTCCTGGCTTCATTTCCCCATCCGGCTCCTATAAGCCCCGACTTTGATTCTGGTTTATTTCCCTTTCCTTCTTCCCTTAGTGGCTCCCTTCACTAGAATTCTCTAAGGAACTGACTCCCTTCAGCCCTGTGTAGTTGGCTGCCAGATTCTTTTGGTTTTCTTCATGGAAAGCTCACCAATTTTTTTTTTTTTCTCTCCAGATCCCTTCTAAAGTGCTTYGGCCAGTGGAAAAGAAAGATCTTTCTAAGAGCAGCTAGGAAGCCAGGCACTGTGGCGCACACCTGTGATCACAGCTACTTTGGAGGCTGAGGCAGGAGAGTCGCCAATTTGAGGTCAGCCTCAGCAACAGTGAGACCCCCATCTCTAAATAAAATAAAAAGGGTTGGGGATGTGGCTCAGGGATAGAGCACCCACTGGGTTCTGGTATTGGGAAAAAAAAAAAAAAAGGCAGCTAAGAAATAGCACTTCAGTCAAGTTGCCAGTTATGGGAATCCCACCTGCTGTGGTGGCTGCCAGGAATCAGCAACTTGAGCCTCTGCCTTAGACCTCACATTCTAGAAGGCTCCAGGAGCCAAGTTGTGTCCCTGCCAAGCCGTCATTCCCTATGGGTTCCATCATGTCAGCCATGTACCCTGGGCGATTATATATGGGAAACACGTAGCTCATCAAGCACGGGACATCTTCCCCCTGCTGGTAATGGGCAGCAAGAAAATGCCTGCGTGATCAGCTCATTGAACTGTTAAGCTTCATCTGTGGGGATCATATGTATTTTAAGAAACCTAGTATTTTCAAATTTATAGAATAACAAGCCGTATTATATTAGGATTCTCTTGTATGTTCTCCTATTAAAATGTATATATCTAAAAATATAAAGACTCAGGCTGAGGGGCGGGTAGCTCAGTAGTAGAGTGCTTGCCTAGCATGAGCGAGGCCCTGGGTTCAATCCCCAGGACGGCAAAAATAAATACATAAAATTAAAATGTTACAACTCATTACTGGAGATTACACAGAAAAATGAGATGTCATAYAAGATTAAATCAGCAAGCACATATCTTTACACAATTGTCACAAAMCCAGTAACATAAGGGTATTCTGGTATATAAGGAAACAATTTCCAGGTAAGATTTGTCCCCAATAATGTAAGAAATGCCATAATCTGCCATCAGTCCATCCCTAAATTCAGACTACCAGGTTTGTTCATGTGGCTGCTGCGCCTAACTTCAGTTACAAAATTCCTGCCATTCAAAGGCAGAGATGTTTGTGTATAATTTATGAACCCTTGGGTTCCTTTCAAAATGAAGAGTTACTGAAATAGAAGTTATTCTTATCACCATGCCAACGGCAGAACCACAACATCAGCTCACAAACACTCYGTTCCTTAAGCCCAAAGCACATACCCTCACGTTCCTGCCTCTGAAAGATCTTTCCATTTCCTTCCAGAACAAACCTCCTTCACATACAGCGCTCCCTCCCCGCAGTATATGCAGGCCACGTCCCTCAGCAAGCTGGCAGGAACACAGACACACACATACACTCCGCCAGCACACACCTCCCTCCTCATTCCCCAAGAGACCCGGGGGTGTGTGTGTGAATGTCTGCGCTGATGACATATTGTGACAGAACGCGCAAGAGAGTGAGGCACAGCCTCAAAGCAATGCAGGTCACGGCAATAGGCTTTATATAACCCAGAACCGCCAGAGACCTAAAATAGCAGGCTCCCTGCTGCTCAGTTAGTCTCCTCCATCAACCAGGGATAAAATTAGAGCAGGCGCTGACGCGCACCTGCGTCTGCAGAGGGACTCCAGGGAGACGCGAGAACAGGCTCCACACTCTGCCATCAGCCAATGCAGGCTGCCAGATTTTTCAGACCCAATCTGTCACCAGACTCGTGTGTGTGTGTGTGTGTGTGTGTGTGTGTGTGTGTGTGTGTGTGTGTTTCGGGGGTGTACATGCTCACCATGTGGAGCCCTGATCCAAGGAGAACATGTCAAGGGACTGGCCCAGGAGCTGGTGGCAAGGACTCAATAGCACATTTCTGTTTTCCTTTCTCTCTCTCTCTCTCTCTCTCTCTCTCTCTCTCTCTCTCTGTAGTAGGGATTGAACCCAGGGGACTCTCCCATGGAGCCACATCCCCAGCCCTTTTCTACTTTTTATATCTCACTAAGTTGCTCAGGCTAGCCTTGAACCTTTGAGATCCTCCTGCCTTAGGCTCCCAAATGGCTGGGATGACGGGTGTGTGCCTGTAACCGTCGTCTGGGTTGTAGTCCGGTCATGTGGGGTTTTGAAAAGGATGTTCCAGGCTTCTCAGGAGGAAGTCAGTTCCCCCATCTGACTTCACAGTTCCTTTTCTTTGCCCTCCATACCATATCTAGACTGTGTGGGGTCAATTTTGGCCCCTTTAAACCTTTCTGCACAATAAAAAAACAAAACCAAATTCCTACTATTGTTTATCCCCCCCCCCCACACACACACAATCTGGAAACTAATAGGCTGTGCCAAGAGGTCAAGAGGAGAGATAAGGCTGGGTGAGCATGACCCACTGTTTCATAGACTTTGGGGCCTTGACCTTGTCTGGAAGCCATGAACACAGCCCACGGGTATGAGTGTTATCCAGCTGYGGCAGCTAGGTGATTTGTTTTCTGCTCAAGAGAAGGCAAGGCAGAAGAAAATTTTTTTACACAACAAATATGTAGAAATATGTAAAGTTTTTTTTTTCCCCCCAGTACTGAGGATGGAATTCAGGGCCTCACATACGAGCCACATCCCCGCCCAAAGGTTTGTCATCTTGATCACTGGGCACTAGACATATTCCAGGAGAGGAAGCGTGGCCAACCCCCTGAACCAGAGCGCAGAGAGATAATACAGACCAGGCATGGTACAGGGCTTTTGTTTGTTGTTGTTCTGCTTTTTTTTTTTTTTTTTTTTGCTTCTGGGAATTGAACCCAGAGCTTTGCTCCTGTCATCTCATAACAGGACCTCTGAAATTCCACTACATGCTCATTTGGGGACCTTTCTGTCCTTGAAGTTCTCTTTTAAGTGTGCTAACATATTGAACTATTTCATAGGGGGGGATTTATTAGATTCTTTTAAGGCGATCCAAATGAATCCTGGATATATTCCCATGAAGCCCGGGATCTACACAGTATTATCTTCCAAAACAAAACAACACACATTCACATATACACACCTGAAATAATCTAAATGAATTTTTAAAATGACTCCTCTTTTTATTTAGCTACTGAGAAGAGCAGTAAAATGGTCTGATTAGTAAGCAGA